ACGTCAAAAATCAAAGCAAGCTATTACAATGAGATATACATGTTTTCCTATACTGCAAAGTTAAATGACAGTCCAATAGTTTCTACATGTCTATTTACACGTGACATATCAACAAACGTCAAAAATCAGTAAAAGCAACTCCAATAAAATATACATGATTATCTTATAAGATATATATTTTAGTGAGCAATATTCATCATGAAAACAGGTATATTTTACTGAATTTTCTTATAGTGCAAACTTATATGATTTTCCATTAGTTTCTAGATGTCTGTTCCCACCCATGACATATCAACAGTTTTTCACCATGAAATATATCAGACAATATTCATATACTTCTTACCTTCGCTAACCACGTTCGAAGCAAAGTATTATCAAGTACTAAGTATGTGAAATTACGATAGAAATCATTCCATATCGCAGTCATAGTTTTTAAGTGATAATCCAATGGAATCTATCAATCATCACATAGAATGAATAAATCTGCTATCTGCTATCTGCTATGTTATAAGATGGATCCAATAAACGGTACATGTCGATTTGTTTCAGTGTATAAGGAGATTTCTATCCGTGTACACTGAAACTAATCGGCATGTACGGTTTATTGGATCTATCTTATAACATAGCAATGCCAGAAGGTTTAATGTTAAGTTATTTGTACTCATCTGGACAGCTAAGCGCAACCACTCAAAATTGAGTTCTTTGCAAAGTATCCAATTTTGAGTATTTCCGAAAGACATCGTTTTGAGTGAAAATGAGTTAATATTGGGTAAAATGACGTGAAATCAAGTTTTGATTTCGAAAACTGGGGAACAGAGCGAGGGGGACGACTCTATCTACGATGCAGGAAAGATTGTGTTTTGCTGTGGCTAGCTGCGCGCACGCTGAGTAGATAGAAAGAAGATTGACGTTGATTCTGAAGATATCCTGCAAAAAGAAGATGCGCGATGCAAGTAGATGCGAGAAATGAAAGAAGATTTTTCGAAGATTGATTCGCTAGTGGGAGATTTGTTGAGCATCAAGACTTGAGATTTAGATGTGTCGCCCCCCTCGGAACAGAGGGCGTTTTTATTTATTGACGTAGGACTACGTCTTTCGGGAAGATGGGGGTACACTTTATGAAAACCGAAAAATGAAATTATGAAAGATTTTGAACGTTGATAACTTAGCTGCCCCTGGACCAATTTCAATAATTTTATCACCAATCGATCAGAAACTTTTCTACGCATCGATAACACAGCGACTGTTGATTTTTTAATTGAAACTATTGAAAAAGTGGTAAATGTCAAGCATTGTCCAGAAGTTTCGAAATAACTAATAAATCCACCAATTACGTACATGTATGTGCTGCTTCCCCAACACAGTCATCAGAGAATGGTTCCTAGATGAAACAAGTTGAAGTGACATTCGCCTCCAATCTTCGGGCGTGTACGAATAGGGAGTATGCAATTGCGGAACATTTTGTTGCCAATTCAGAACCACACGCCCACAACGACCACACAAAATGTTCTCCGTTTTTTTTTTCCTAGGATTTGTTTTCCGTGCTGTGCACCAATGCTACCCACACCTCGACCCTACCTATCGACCCATCAACTCATGAACCGGGAACCAACAGCTTTACTTCCCTTCCAAAGGAAGACGTGATCAGAGATGTTATGTCTCAGAACTTCCTCTTTTCTGAAATCAACTTTGTGGGCCTGAAAAGGGCCGTTTTGTTACGTTGGTGATAAGTTTTAACCTCCGAATCCGTACAGAATGCGTCCCTGTCGCTTCAGAGCGTAGACGACATCCATGGCCGTGACGGTTTTGCGCTTGGCGTGTTCAGTGTAGGTGACGGCATCACGGATCAGATTTTCTAGGAACACCTTCATCACGCCTTCCAGCAAGCTTTGTCGATATTGAGAAATTGCCGTAAAAGCTCTACGCAGATGTTGCCACTGCATGATAATGATACACAGCAAAAAAATAATTACGTTGCTTTTACTGCATTTGTTTATTTGTGTGGCTATAAAAATTACATGAGATTTTCACATGATTGAAGTGCATCCTCATGGATGTAATATTAAAATTTATTTTTTGCTGTGTAATGATGACAGGCTACATAGCAAATTCATGAATATGGGCATTAATTCCTAATTTTCATGAAACCTACAAAACATCCTTTCAATACGGGGGCGACCCCGGCGTAGTGTTTAACATCCTTACCTCTCACGCCAAAGTCACGAGTTCAAATCTCACCCCCGGACAAGTCACGAATGACCCAAGAGTGTTAAAGTGACTATAATATAAAAAAAATCCTTTCAATACATCTTTCGAATGGTGTTAGGAAAACTTCATTCCAATACTTCTTTGCATCTTTGAGTTGGATTTCAATATAAAATATTCATTTTTTAATGAATGCTCATTTTCATGAATTTGCTATGTAGCCTGTCAACGTTATCATCATCATGCAGTGGTGACATCTGCGTAGAGCTTTTACGGCAATTTCCCAATATCAACAAAACTGCATCACCATCACTGTATATAGCCAATGGTAAGCGAGGAAATATGGCACCGGCAGAGCTGGTTGTCTATATAAGAGGTTGCTAACCACGCTTTGGGCGATTCACCCGTTCAACGACAAACATCATGCATCAATGACTGGTCGGAGGCAAAAGTCTTGGAAAAGGAGGCGCCAAGCGTCATCGGAAGTTCTGTGTGATAACATCCAGGGCCTGCCATCCGTCGTCTGGCTCGACGTGGTGGTGTCAAGCGTGTCTCCGGTCTAATCTACAAGGAAACCCGAGGTATGCTGAAGGTGTTCCTAGAAAATATGATCCGTGATGCCGTCACCTACACTGAACACGCCTAGCGCAAAACCGTCACGGCCATGGATGTCGTCTACGCTCTGAAGCGACAGGGACGCACGCACTCTGTACGGTTTCGGAGGTTAAAACTTATTACCAACGTATCAAAACGGCCCTTTTCAGGGCCACCAAGTTCAATTCAGAAAAGAGTTAGAATAGAATTTATATAGAGTAACTCATGATTCACCCATTCAATTTGTCACTAAATTGATGTATATTGATGATTCAAAAATCAAATAATTTGTTAAGGAAATAAATTATGTTCTATTTGTAGTCTTATCGGTGGGTCAAATTTATTCCGTTTAACTTTCATAAACTGAGAAACCCTCATCGTATGCATTCTCCTGCTGCGCGACATCTTCGAAAATGTCCGAACCGTTAAAAAATACAGAGTACAGACTAGAAAATCGAACAAAAATTTCGTAGTCCTACGTCAACAATGCGGTCGTGTCTTGTACACCACCCTCCAACTTTTTTTCTTCCATAGTGCTAATAGAAAATCAACAATAGTTTAAATTTAAAATCAATGCGACGTTTTTAATTGCTCTTATAAAACAACCCAGACTTATATAACATCCCAATCGAGGAAAACCTAGAAAGAAACTTCTGCACCTTTTTTTTCTGGAAGAAACACATCACATCGAAGTTCCGTGATCATCTCCATAAACTTTGCCGTAATATCACGTCGTCCTTGTAAAACACTGGGTTTTCAATTGTTCAATTGGATATTTAAACTGCATCGGATCAGGGTCGGCACTGGTGAGGGCGACGGAACAACTGACTCGAAAGTATTTTCTTCAACATCTTCTGTGTTGCCCGGAAGAGGATTATGTGAGAGAAAATGCTTTTGGAAATTTATGAAAAACTAAAAATCGAACCACATTGGGGACATCTCAGCGGGACTGCCGACTTCCGACTTATTGCGACTTTATGGAGCGTGGAATGGTGCTGCTAAAAAATCTCCAGACTACCTGCGATGAATTCACTACATCCATCAACGCAGCATTTCATCCTTCAAACAATAAAAGTTGAAAATGTAGGTAATATCCACTGATAAATAAAATAATAAACTTTACCCGTCAACTTTTGGTAGCCTCCTTCGTCGATCTTGTTCTTTTGTTGCTCCATTATTCCACCAATTAATGAAATCCAGAACAACATGTGAAAAGGGCATACAAGCTTTTTGTAAACAAACCTTCTTATGCCCTTTTCTCGCCACCCATATGACACCAACGCAAACCTTTAACACCACCGGGTAGGGGACACTTTCCCCTTCCCGATGATATTGCTGGTTTGCGTGAGCGACTCTCGGTTGGTGAGAAAAGGGCCTACAAAGGTTTGTTTACAAAAAGCTTGTATGCCCTTTTCACATGTTGTTCTGGAAATTATAACTCCTTTAAAACTCGTTTAAAAGCGTTTGCTTCCGATAGATGACAGAGCTTAAATGAAATAAGTATGGTGCACGATGCAATTTTCTCATCTAAAATAAAGTGAAATCGCAACACCTTATTTTGGATACTTGCAAAAGGTGGAAAAGGATACAATTAAAAATCGAGATAGAAAACCCTCAAAACTAATAACTCTCAAAAGACTACTATTCTGAGCACAATTAACGTAAAAGTAACTATTTTTGTTATACTTCAAGATTAAGTTAAAAGTACTTATCATTCAGAATAACATTGTATTTAAAATAGTAGTCTTTGGAGAGTACCTATTTTTAAGTACTTTCTGTCTCGATTTTGAGTTGTTTCGATTCTCCGTGTAGCGAGCGTTTTTCCGGAAATCGAGACAATCTCCACCCCGGAAGTTTTTCGTCCGGACCGGGGTTCAAACCCGGCCCCCGGCTTGGTAATGCTGTGCCTTTACCGACTTGGTTATTGTGGCCTTAATTATATAGACCTATCATAATTATAATTATATAGACCTATCATATTTTACCTCTTATTTTGGTATCAGGAATAGAATTAAAACGAATTCAATGTCATTTAGAGAATCTCAGAAAGAAACGGAGATGTTTGGCAGAACTTCAAAAAAGGTTAGTAATTCCAGGAAATCTTTTCGGAGGCGTTAAAAGTAACCACGTGAAAGCTTATCATAAGTTTTAAAAAGGTCAAATCAATCACAGAGTAGCTTAAAGTTCTTCCAAGATTGACTGACTTCTTTCATTTTCGTAATATGGACTATGTGTAGTTCACTATTGGTTAAAACTCGAGGGATCACTGTTGCAAATTGTATGATTCAATGTTAATTATAAGTGATTTTCTCTTATTACTTATCGACGCAGTTTTCTGACCTTAAGAAAACCACTGCAGAAATGAACTGGCCAACACGCTGTCACGAAATCTCCCCAAACGAGCCGCATAGGATATCACGTGGGCGACATAGGTTGGATCGTGCACTTTATGGAAAAGATGTGCCATTGGACCTGGGTAAAGTATGATCGGATAAGACATATGTTATATCTAGCAGTGTTTTATTCGACCAAGGAACTTACCTGTTGCATGAATCGCAGTGTCTATTGTTTCTTCCTCGGATATGGTTTGTTTTTTATCAGAAAATGGGCTAGAAACTACGATTATCAGTGTTTCATTTAATGAATCCCTGAAACAACAATATTTTGCATCATGCTACTGTCAACTATGTTATTTTAGGTACATATCTTACCGTAACGAGTTCATTGTTAATCTAACAGTTTTGTCCAGTTCTAAAATATCATCTTCATTATTTTCACTCACAGGTTTGCAAACAACAACCAACAGAAATCCATCATGAGCGTTGCTCAAAATTTGCGTTGATTTTATAACTACCTCGTGTAATGAAATTTCGGTTCGCAGCGATTCCGGAAACAGTGCTCGAATATGTTTGGTGTTCACGGTGACTTTGGAGAAATCTGACATATCGGCAGCAATGAAACAATCAGCATCCTTCCAAAAAGTGGTAAGGAGAGAGGAATCGCATGATGCACCTAAGGCATTCCATCCCACGATGACATTCAATTCGTTGCCTGGGATATAGCCCATCAGTTGCGTTTCAGTGTCCAAACATGTGAAAGGCTCGTCAATCTGATCAGGAAGCATTTCCGGGCATGTCCAACTATCGTTAACAACATGAGCATACAGAGCAGCCGGTGTACCGTCTCGAATATCTCCGTTTGTGATGAATCCTGTTCCCAAATCAGACCCTAGAGCCAACGAAAGAATTGACTCCACGTGGTTAGTGTCAACAATCGTGGCAGTGCAATCATTTGGATGAACGGCCGAGTCCACTCCCGATGTACCACGGTTTGCACCGACTCCTCCGAAGAGAGCCGTCCCCACCGAGTTGCGCTTGTACCATCGTGCGAGACCCAGATGGGGAAAGTGCTCCCATGTGAACGTTCCGTTGCTTCCGTACTCATGAACACGTACTGCAGTCATAGTATCTGGGTGGAAACCATCAGCAACAAATAGTATAACATTCTGAGCCCTCTTTTTATTCGCATGAGTATTGAGAGCAAATTCAAGGTCTTTCAAGCCTTTTCTGAACCAAACGTCTTGCTCTTCATTGAAGAAAAGAAAAATAATTAATGGGTTATCATTTAAGATTTTGCAATTCCGTTGTGTATTCACCTGCGGGCAAGTCCTCTTTCAAAACATCCATGGTTAGTGTCACTTCTGCGTCATTTTCGTAGTTAACCAAAAATGCTACGCACACAATAACTATTGAAATAATACCAACAATGATTAAAAAAACGCATATTTTTGTACAAATAAATCGAAAAAACTCCTTGACTCTGCCACTCCGGGGTTGTGATAGGTCGAATTCACTAGTATCCATATCGTTGCGCCTATTCATTGAATCCAGATTAATTACTTCCGAGCTCATACTACGAGCAATTGTGGTCGCTTTACAAGATGAGATAAGCAACGACCGATAGATGAACGGTTACTGTCCACCCCGACGATTCGAGTCTAGTAGCTCGCAGTTTTAATCTGCTACAATATGCAAGTGATGATAGAGATACTGATATGAATTAGTTTGTAATGGTAGAAAAGCAAATATCTTACGACGGATAACATTGAGCAATGGGGTGGTTAAAATTATCCAATTTGCTCTACCTATCGCCATAGTTTCAGTCTGTGCGACTGACAGGATTTTCTCATAGGACTGAAGTGCAAAGATTTTTCATTATCATTGAAAGACTTCACGCGACATTGACAACATTATTTTTTACATCATTGCGTTAAGAATTGATTCTCAAAAAAACCTTCGTCAAAATCTCATTCATTTTTTCGTCATGACAAAGATTCAGCTGGTAACAAAAAGTGTAATTTCGTGCATTCTGTGTCACATTATTGTTATCCAACCAGTTAAGGACGTAGAGGCTTGTTCACCTTAACTGCTCCATGGAATTATTTGGCTTAATTCATATAATTTCGTTACGAATTTAGCTTATAACAAAAACTGCACCTTTTCGTCACTGACAATTGACATGGTTTCACTTGAAGATTTTTTTTTAAATTCTTTATTAAAGAGATTTTTAGCCTTAGGCTAGTTCATCTCTATTCACTTGAAGATGATTCTTAGCTCGAGAGAGCACCCAAAACTGTTTTGTCAATATCGCCGTGCATTGTCGAGATTTTGCAGCACTGCATAGAAGTATTGAAGAGAAACATCAATGCAAGATTAAACTCAATGAAAAGGCAAAGAAAGAACCAATCTTTTACCTTCAAATACCTTGGAGTCTGGTTTGATTCAAAATACACTTGGGGTACCCACATTACGTATTTGAAACAAAAGTTTCAACAAAGGATCAACTTTCTACGATCAATTTCCGGGACATGGTGGGGTGCTCACCCGGAAGACCTCATCAAACTATATAAAACGACTATTCTTTCAGTTCTTGAGTATGCCTCTTTTTGCTACCTCTCGGCAAGAAAAAGGCACCTAATCAAATTGGAACGTATTCAATATCGTTGTTCAAGTATTGCCCTTGGCTGCAGGGCTGGAAAGCACCTCAGAGCGTTAGAAAAGCAACTTTGTGCATGCATCTCACAACACTCGACAAAGAGTGTGTGGTACCCCCATTTACTTCGCACACTCTTTTCCAACTAATCCGTCAGAATGCGATCCACACAATGAGCGGTACACTCCGTGCGGTGCAGGGAGCGAATATAATACAACAAGCACTAATGTCTTCTTTGAATTCTTTGCAGACTTTGCTTACCACAACTGCATGCATAGGAGATGAAGAAGAGCATAACAAAGAAGAATTTTGTCTTTTTGCTGTGTTTCCCATTTGCAACCCTACACTGAGTGGCGCTCTTTGCGTCGGAGTCGTGGGATCGATGGCTACACATTGAGCTTTCGTTATTTCTGGGTGTGCACTCAAAAAATTTATCACATATCTAATGGATGAAAACCATGTGAATTTCACATAGCTTTCATGTGATCACATAGCTAGAAATCCCACCACAAAATCACATGAATATTATGAGGCCGATGAAATTCATATAAAAAAATCATATAAAATTAACGTGATCGCATAAATGTTATGTGAAATTCAGATGAATTATATTAATTTTGTTTATGGATAAAAATCATTTGCGTTTCCAATGGAAGCTACATGAAAACTATTTTCGGTGTGTGTTTGTCTTCTCTTCTCCGCTGCTTTACACTTGCGCAGGGCGAAAGACAAGCAAACTTTGTGTTCTATTGAGGCTATTCGGTCGATGAAACAAGGTAGGCACTCATCTTATTTCCTTTCAAAGGTAAGGGAGCAGATGAGTTTGCTGGTCGAAAGATCATATATGATTACCTTTGTATGGGTCCCTTCACATTGCTTAATCACAGGTAATAAGAAGGCAGACACTCTCACAAAGGTGGGCGCACAACAAGGAGAGATTTATGATAAAAGAATTTCACATGATATCTTTTTCTCATTAGTACGTCAGAGTTCTCTTCTAAGTTGGCAAAACGATTGGACAAGTAATTCTCTTGGGCGGTGGTTACATTCCATCACTCCACACTGATAAAATTTCAAAGACACATAAAAACAGTGTCCCACACATGAATTTTTGCAATTTGATCAACAAATAATATCTATGGGTCGGACACATACTTAATATGTGTACCCACAAATACTATTTATTTGACTCATACATTTCATATGTGCTTCTATGTGGATTCTGTTTATGTGTTGTCACATGAAAATCATGTGGAATTTTACGTGGAAATTCGCCAATAAAAATGTGTGGAATTCTATTAGTGCAAATGTTTCTTCGACGCGTGGTTCTAAGGTCAGGATGTAAGTCGGGGATTCATTCGCGTGATGTCAAGACTTATGTTCAACCACTACTCGCTAGACGCACATCTCTACAGAATAACCTCGTTGACAGCAATATATGTAGTTGCAGAACCGGTTATGATCACCCTAATAAAAAATAACCATAAACGAACGATAACCCAAATCATTGAACTATTCCACAAATGGTTTGGATGATACCCAGAACACGTCGTTAAGCAAATTAACCATACAATTTTTATTAGGGCATATCGATCACGCAGTTTGGCATTGCCCGGGTAATGACGCGTCCAGAGCACGACTATTGGATACTAGACTGATGCAAATTTTGACTTTTTCGCTCCACAGTGCTTAAATGGTTTTAAATCGGGTCCTGATTAGCCTCCCAAAGTTACAACTCATTTGGTTAGAAATAGACTTCGCACAAGCCATTTGAAGTTTACATGTAAATTACTATGGGAAATCTCAACTTTTTGTCTTTTTCCATATTGAGTCCTTCTAGTCTTTTTCCATATTGAGCTGCAAAACAGTTCGATAGCCATTCTTATAGAAAATTTTCTCAGCTACAACTTTGCTGAAAATCGTTTATATGTAAAACGAGACAGGAAAATGTTATTAATTATTTAAGAGATTGGTAAACTTATGACAAGATCAAGCAGCTGCTCTGTAGGCAACACTGTATTTTGCAGTGTGACATAGTGATTTTTGTGTCCTATTCAACGCCCCACAAACACCAATGTTGCCTGCTGAGCAGTTGATTGAGCATGATCATAAGACATCAGCGCATTGAACCATTGATAACTTTCGATCCTTGCATTTAATCAAAAAGTGGTCTTGAGCAAAGTTGTAGCTGGGAAAATTTTCAACAAGTACAGTTGAACGTTTTCGAAGCAGACTGATATGGTGAATTATTACATAGACATGAACAAAAATCTTGGTTTTACCACAGTAATTCCCATACAAACTTCAAATGGTTTGTGCCATCTCAGTTTCTCACCAAATGGGTTAAAATTTTGAGAGGTTAGTCAGGATCCGATTTGGAGCGAAAATTTCAAATTTTGCATCACTCTATTGGATACCCTAGTGGCCCAAGGTAGACAACCCTTGCGTGAAGTAAGAGATGTATCGGGAACCCGTGATCTTCCCTACAGGCAGGCGAACTACGAATTCCTTTGTTTGTCTGATGTTAGAATTTGATGTGACCATCCCGGGGGAGGTAGCTCATCGATTCTTCCGGTTCGCCTCCTAGCATCGTGCTATAAGGTACCAGGCGATAACCAGGGTAGTTGATCGATAGCTCGATGACGTCATTTCGTTGGCGTCTGCTATGGGAAATTCTCATAGCAGGCGTTGACGATGGGACGTTGTCGAGTTGTTGAATAGCAACTATCGTGCTAACTCACCGATTACCTGTCGATCTGCCAAATTTGGAAAGACGTCTGCATTGAATTGTCTCATATAATAATATTCCGCCCACTATATCACACGAAATTGCGAGTAGTTGAGTGGAATGGAGATAAGTTAAGCATTGGGTACAGGACCAAGTCTCCCCTGGGTGGTGCCAGAAGATGAGCGCAATAGAATCATCAAGTTGCCATAAGGCACGGAATGAGACTATTGCATGGCTGGGTAGTCAAAGTCTTCCATTCGTTAGTCATTTCAGGTGGATTAGAACAGGTTTAGGTTTAGGGTGGGCGTTGGCCAGATTTGGATTTTTCAGATATAATCCTAAATAGGACCTAGATTATTTAATACACTAGTAACCTCAACTTCTGTCACAATGTTTCATTGTGACTAATCAACACTCAATGGGTAAAATATCAAATTTGCGGTAAATTTGAAAAAAAGGGAACTTGGAGTGTAGAGTGCACTGCCCACTGGACGATTCTGAAGCCTGACCAAGTGAGTGGGTTACGGGTTTATTTGATTGTACGTCATTTCCAAGTTATATATAGATACATTCATACCATTGGCATTTTGTATTTGAGCTAAGACAGAGACAGGATGCGGAGGGCCCGCTTAGGGGGAGCGTAACCCATGTTATGGCTTCCATTTATTAAATAGTTCAGATAGGCTGGTTCATGGTGAGAAAATGTACCATATGCTGCCCGTTCACTGATCAAAATTAGATTCAAATCGTCAGGCCCTGCCCTGGAATAAGGGAATTGACGATGATTTGTCAAGTTTCATTTTGCATTTGCATATAATTGTAAGTTTAGGTTTGCTTTTGTAATTGTAAGATAGATTGAAACATTGAGTTAAACATGACGAATCATACCTCTAAAATAGTAGTAGTTACAGTGCCGCATTATCTAACTTTTGTTTTGTTTGTTTACATATAACTAATACTAATACCTCCTTGTTTTCTCTCTAATTTGTCTACTATGTCCCACCATCACGATGAGAGATGAGCTACCGTACATGGTACACGCTCATATACACTCCCAAAATAGTATGCCGCAAGTAAGTATATCACAGAGGCAACTAAAGATCCAGAAACAAAAACCGAAAACGCTTTACGGCAGATTGGTTTACAGTGGTCGACCAGGGTGTGTGCGGATAAATTACAAAATTACAATTAGGGTAGATGTACCAGTTATGGCTGTGCGTTCCTGTTGTGGTGTGTTCCAATCATGGCCTATGGAAATCCTATATGCCATAATTGGAACAC